AACTAAGACGCAGAAACCAGATACTGCAACCTGGAACGCGAGATGCTTGCTGTTGCCTGGGCAGTCAATCACTACCGACAGTACGTATATGGACGAAGATTCAAGATAGTCAGTGACCACAGTCCACTCCAACAGATCATCAAGAAAGACATAAGCGATGTAACAACCCGGCTGCAACGACTTTTGCTGCGATGCCAAGGCTTTGACTTCACAATCGAATACAAGAAGGGTGTCGAAATGCACATCTCTGACTGCCTCTCAAGGTGTGTGCCACCACCAGCGCCCAATCAAGGACCAGTATTCCCAGAGACCAGCCAAATTGGGATATTTGAGGTCACTGCAGCAAACGAATCAGACATTCAGAAGATCCGATCGGCTCAAAAGAAAGACCCAGTCTTCCAGGAGCTAGAGAGTCTCTGCCAGCAGGGATGGCCAGAACACCGCAATCAAGTGTCTGAGCTGGCTGTAGCCTACTGGGATTACAGACATGACATTGCAATCATTGATGGAATTATTGTGAAGAGCCAAAGGATCGTGGTGCCACAGAAGATGAGAGAGTGTTTACTCCAGAAGTTACACCGAGTGCACCAGGGGATAGACAAATCCATCCAAAGAGCCAGGGACAAATGGTTCTGGCCTGGCATGACTGAACAGATCAGGAGGCTAATCCTCACCTGCCCATCCTGCCTGGAGCACCAACCTAGACAGAAACAAGCAGCGGTCATCCCTGTGATCACAACCAATGCCATGCAGATACTGGGTTGTGACATTTTCCAGCATGCTGGTCGATGGTACAGTTGCATCATCGACTACCACACCGGATACCCATGGGTAAAGCAACTGAAGAACCAAGAAGCAGATACAGTTATCCAACATTTTCAGAGTGTCTGCAACCAGTTTGGTTACCCTATGGAGGTAGTGAGTGATCGAGGCTCACAATACACTTCTAGCGACTTCCAGGAACTCTGCTTGAAATTCAACATCATTCACAAGCCAGGGACCCCTCACTCTCAGTGGAAAAACGGCCGCTGTGAAAATGCCATTGGGAGACTCAAGAGGTTACTTGAGAAGTCCAAAGAAGAGGAAACGACCATGGAAGACATACTTGTGAACATCCGTGACACACCGCTAGATGGAAATACTCCCTCACCCTATGAGCTGATGTTTCACAGGAAGGTCAAATCAGACCTACCCTCAATACCACTCAGCCTGTTCGACAGCACCAACAGCATCAACGCAGGCCATAGAAGTGTGAAGCACGCTGAAAGAACGAACGAAAGCGAAAACAGAGGTGAACCATCAAGGCTGGAGCAACATCAAACAGTCATGTTTATGAAGAAACCTCAGGAAAAGAAGGCCCGATGGTCAAGTGGGACAGTCGTCACTGTGGACGGTCAACGATCATACACCGTGGAGGACGACGCAACTGGAGCACAATATTCCAGAGATCGAGTCCACATCAAGCCAACTCTCGGTAATGCCGCCACTCCACAAACTGCGAAAGCCGCTTCCAAAGGAAGAGAAGAAAGTGTATCAGTGCCAGTTGGGATGCCAAGCTCGAAAGATACGGCTAGCCCACCAAAGCCGAAGGAAGAGACCCCCATGAAGCAGAAAGCTGACAATCCATCAGACAGCATCAAAACATCCCGACCAAGGCGTGTCATCAAAGCACCAGTGAAATACGGATATGAATGAAACCTTGGATGTGACATTTACACAGAAGTGATTTAAAAAAAAAAAAAAAAAAAAAAACACACAACAACAAAAACTGTTGTTCTTTCTTTTATCTTTAGATCACCAAGCTATGTTTTTTTTTTATTATTCTGTTATAGTTATATTTGTCATCCCCAATCAGGAACTGACATTGTGTTAGTGGAAACTTTGTTTGTTTTGTTCTCAACAAGGGGGATGACGTAGCAGTTTAGATTTCGCTACGTGTTTAAGCTATACTTTATGTAAGCGGAGTTCTGGTGTCTCTCGATTGCACAATAGCACATGTAAAACTAGAGTGTGCAAACCGTACAATAAAGGTTGATCTTCTGTGAGTAATAGCGCAGAGTATACTTCATGGTGACCCCGACGTGACTCACTCGAAGATCAAGAAAGAAAGAAGAAACAGTTTGGAGCCTTCGAAGATACTCCAGGACGAAAATTCGAAGGGACACGGGGATCGAAACAGTAAACCACACTGGCCGCCATCTTGGATTTTGGAAAGTGCCATAATCTGAATTCTTTTCACCGAAGCCATCCCAGCACAGAACAGCGAGTCTGGATTACTGGTCCGCTTGTCCCAAACGGTAATCCAGCCCAGTGGAGACGAACAAGAAACAATTTCGTCAGTTAAGTGCATGAAAGCAAGTGAAGACGTCGATCGATCGCGCNGCTAAAGTGAACGATTACGGTCGGCAATCGCACAAACTGGTCACGGGAGGGGAAGCCAGACTTTTAGGCCCTGATTACATGAGCCGGGCTGGCCCTGTTAGCCCGGCTAATTTCTTTTGTTTTGGTGTTCGCCAAAGCGTGAAAACAAAAGAAATCAGCCCGGCTCATGTAATCAGGCCCTAAGTCGTCACGTGACGCAATTAACCTGCCGTAACAAAATCAGTACGGTGTTTCGAGTGAATGGGATGCCTTTGGTCGAAGAAATGAGTTCTTCCACTCGGCCCCATTTGGAATGCCCTTCGTGTTATACCAGGCAAGTGAATACCAGATATTGCCCTCCTGCAGAACTTGAGCTGAAGCTTTTAGAGGCCACTGCATAAATTTAAAGTGCAAATCATTCAACTCTTTTCATCTAGAGTTTGTCTCATTCGTGTGATCATCACAATGCCTTTCTGTTTAAAAGGTGTTAACGACTTATATCAGTGTTTTCGAAGTCTTTTAAAATACATTTAGCGATGTATGGAGCGACAATGGAAGATGATTGCATGCGAGGTCCGATCGCAGCCATGAAAAGGTTGATGAGTTGTTCTCGACTGGCTCTCGTTGCAGTGAAGATAACAGTTCAGTTTGCCAGTTTGGAAATGTTTTGCTTTCTTAGCTTATGGCAGTTTTATTAGATGTTAAGGAGAGCCAATTTAAAACGTTATTGCCTTCATTGTGGTTTAGTATACATGACTGGGAAAGGGTATGTTTAGAAGCGGTCACATAATCGCATGGCCCATTAAGCGCTGTACCTGTATTCTAACATAGTTTTATTGATGCATTCAAAAGTAAGGGTTACTTTCTCCGTCCAAGAAAAGAATTGAAAATGTTCTTTTACATTCACTTTTTTTGTAAGATTCAGAGATTAGGTCAATGTTTTGTTGGTAGAAAACAGCCATGAGTCCATGACACAAATTGTATGCAAAATATCTTTAGTGTAAACACATCACCTGGTAACTTGAAATATTCTGCCTACACGGTTGTCGCTGCTCCCCATATTGATTTGTTTCAAAACTGTGCTAGACAAGTTATTGGTTCAAATCCTGTGATTTGTCAATCCCCAAATATTTCAGTCAGCTTGTTAAGCAGGTTTTCTGTACCACTGGGTATGGCAGATTATGATCATTATGAGTAAAATATAGTTATGCAAGGGAGAGATGGATGGAGTACCTGCAGGAGGGACCCACTAAAGTAGCCCCTATATTTAAGATGGAGGACCTAGTTGTAGGTGTCGGATATGGATATTTGGTATTATTAAAATCTGGATCATTGGATAATGCAATTCAAGACTTTTTATAGGCTTAGCCATTATGGTATATGAGCCAATATACCATAATCTACAAACATGATAAGCGTGCGCGTCGGGTTAAAATTAAACACGAAGGCGCGCTATATAAGGAAGTCTTCCCTGGGAAGACCTAGGCTCATTTGTCACTCACCGTTGACGTGTGTAGGTCAAATTCAAATGCTGGTAGATGAACAAAAAGAGCTATTGTTTACTCCACCAGCATGGTGGCATGAGGTAATGTGCGAACCACCTACTTC